ATTGGGAAAGTGGAACACGGACTGAGGTGTAGTGTAGCAGTTACTAAGGTGGCAGCAGATCACGTACCTCATGATCCCAGTGCTACAGTATTATCAGAGTGTTGCAGACACGCGTAGTGAGTTTAAGTGGCCGAATCATGTGTGTTTTAGTGGGATGGGCGTAGCGAGTATGGCGCCGCATTATTGATACGTGTAAAACTGAAATCCTTGGGTTTATCCAATTTAAGATGTTGTTACATGCGTACGCAGTGGTTTCAAGTGAAGTGTATTTTAGTGACAGATTAAAAGTAAGACGTGTTTGTCATGATGTCTGGGCTTTTGCCTTATGACATATTAATCCCGGGTTTTTGAATTTTATGAAAATTTAAATTTTAAATGATAAAAACTCAATGCTTTTGAAAAAGGGAATATGTATGTATGGGCGTTTGCCCACTATCACCTCGATTCATTAATAAAATCAGCAAATTCTCTCCGCTCATTTCGCATCTATATCGTGAACTAATTGGTGGTGCGCATGTATGCTTGCTGTATAATGTTTTGCCGGGCGTCAGTTATTTTGCATTTGTCTTTAATCTTTTCGCTTGCGTTTTCAGTGCGTTTTTACTTCTTAATCTGTTTAAATCGTCTTTTATGTTTCGTCCAGATGTTTTTTTCTGTGTAGGTGGTCTCGTTTGCTGGCTTTTATATTTTCTCTGAATAATTGATTTTTTTTTTGTAGTGTCTTGCGGTTGTTTTGCTTTTATTTCGTCCTTGGTCTGCTTTGTTCTTTTTTTGTTGGTTTGGAACTTTGGCGCTCTCTATGTCCTTGCGAAATTTTACGTGTTGCTTTTTTTTCTTATGTACCTATATTAATTACATTTGCTTGGTTAGTGACTTTTTCCAGTACTTTTTTTTAAAATTGCTGTTTTCGTGTTTACTTTCTGTGTAAACGATGTTTAACATTGAGTTTTTTTCTGCTAACGTTCTTTGATCAGTACGGAATTTAACAAATTGAGGAGAGAGTGGTTTTTTTTACTTTTGTTCTTAGTGTTGAAGTGAAGTAGTGTGTGTATTTTGGTGGAACGTCTTTTTTTGGCCGGAGAGCGAGACAGCACGCGCGCTGCGGTGCTTGAGATGTTAACGTGCATTTTTTTCTGAAATCTGTGGGTTTATCCAATTTACAATGTTGATACAAGCGTATACGCAGTTTTTTTAAAATGAAGTAAATTAAAAAAATATATATATGTGGGCGTTTGCCCATGATGCCTTTTTTTATCACGGCTTTTTAATTTTATAAAAATACTATTTTTAATGAAAATAAAAAAACTTTTTTTTTTTGAGAAATGTATAAAGATCTAACAAATGAATAAACACAAAAAAAAATAAAAATCCAATAAATAATACACGAACAAGTAACGTGTGCGAGTGCGCGGGTGCCGTTTGATTTTTGGCTGTTATGATACAATGACATTCTAAAACTAAATTGTTCAGTTCAACAATAAGGAAAAATAAAAAGATAATTAAAATTGATACACGAACAGCACATGCAAATTTTAGTTTCGTAGGTGTTCGTAAATTGACGTCGCCGTCGTAGCTACCATCTACTGAAG